ATAGATATTCACGAGTTAACCGTTTTAAAGAACGAATGTGTTGTGTCTAGCAGTAGAGTCCAAAACGTACATTTCATTCTATTTGAGAGACATCAGTTTGATATACTTATAACCCATTGTTGATGTACACAATGAGACTCAAGTTCAGCATCTTTCACTTGGAATGCCAATGCATTATGCACTGAGCTATTGAGTTCAGAAAACAATTATTTTGTTCAACAAATATTATTATCATTATTATTACCTACAAAAGGAAAACGAAACCTCTTAATAATTTCAACATTTTTAGTAAGGGAGGGTTTGTGTAGATTGTGGGATCTTTATTACTATGATAGTCTAATAAAGTTTTTATTCGAGAAACCAACAACACTAAAGTGTTCAAGACATCTCTCAACGAAAAGTGCAAAGACTTAGAAAATCTACAGGAAATAGAGGAGAATCTGTGAAAAGATTAAAAAACCAGTAAAAACAAAGAATATTAAGATTTAGAGATCTCCATCATGATAAAAGATTAATATTAGTCTTTGAATATTAAGTGTTAAAATTATGGCAATGGGTAATTAAAGTCAAGGAAATGGAAGTGATATATTTAATAAAAACTGAGCTCGAGAGAAACGCAACACACATATGCATATTAAGTCATTACTAACATATGGGTTGAGTATGCTCAACTGAGTATGATGAACATAGTAGTATGAGAATACAGAATAATTATCTAAATACGTTTATTTAGTTAAAGTATGTTGCAATGAAAATTAGTGTCATGTTGTGTAAAAACTGCTGACACCAACTTATCAAATTTTCAGACCTAAAACGCGACATATGCAAAATGATGTTTTACTTTGATGTTCTAGACATTTTAAGGTGATTTTGTTCAATCAAATAAACTGATCTACAAGTCCCACGTCCTACTGTGGTAGATAAAGACTTTTAGGGGGAAACCAACTTATTGTTTAGTGCGAAACGACAAAGTGCCTTCGTAAAAAAAGACCATACGTTAAACGAATAATTTATACATCTCTCTTCAGTTATCCTTTACGTGCCTCATGATTCTTTCGATCCCGTTTTTATTGAAACTACTCTCTTTTCCCTTCAGTTGAATGTTCTTGACCTTCTGCTGACATTAAATCCATTTCCGATTAGTGCTACATACTACTTATACCTGTCAGCATAAGTACCATACACGTACTTGTCCGCCCCGTTTAAAAGAAAGTCATTCTTGCGGTCGTTCTGCTCTCCGTATCACTTCCTTCTTTTCCGCAGTCTGTGCTACGCTGGAATGTCGAGTCCGCCGGCGCGGTGGCCCCAGCAACCCATTGAACCATATCCGCCCAGAGACCGGACGCGCTGCTTCTTCCCTCAGCCGACAGCGACTGCTACAACCAACGCCGCCCCGCTAGAACACTCTACAAGTCACGCCTTTCCGCGCAAGTCCGCTTAGACTAGCGACTCCTCTCCGCAGGATTTCACCCCATCCACCTCTCGTTTGGCAGCGACACCGAAAGTAGTGAACGAAAACTCACGTGGAGAAGACCAATTTATGGTTTAATGCACAATTGTACGATGATTCAACAAAATGTGAAAATCATACATCTAATACATCATTTGCACATCATCTTTGAACTGTCTCGTACAAGCTTCATTGTTACTTCATTCCTGTTGCTATCGTGATCGCAATCATGTCTTATGTGAAATTATTCGTGCAAATTTTGATGTATGTTCGTACAGACAATCTACAACCACCATCAAGAAGGTACAAGTATTCATAAATAGTTGTCAACACAAGATACTCAACATCCATTGGCCGGATACCATCAGCAACACCATTCTGTGGGAGAGAACAGACAAGCTTCTAGCTGAAAAAAATTAGGGAAAGACGTTGAAAGTGAATAGGACATACATTACAGAAATCAACAAACTGCATCACGAAATTAGCCCTAACCTGGAATCCTGAAGGGAAACGGAGAAGAAGAAGGTCAAAGAACACATTACGTCGGAAAATAGAAGCAGATATGAAAAGGATGAATAACAACTGAAAAAAACCCGGGAAGGATTGACCAGGATAGGGTTGGATGGAGAATGCTTGTGGGCGGCCTATGCTACTACACAAGAAGTAACAGGCGTAAGTAAGTCGTACAGACAATACAATCGATACAAATCTCCATAATCCAAATGTTAAGTATATTTAAAGTAATGTCATCACTGTGCTTACGAATAAGTAAAACTATGCTACACTGATTGTCGTTAGGGACCTGTCAAAACTAAGTACCTGACGTTAGATATTAACGCGAATTTAAAGCACCATTGTGAATAGTTTGTTACTGTGAGCCATGATTTTGATTAGATTTAGCGTTTTGAAAGGACTTGATGATTTTCTTGTGGATTTAGCTGTTAGGGGTCAGTCGGATTACAGTATCGATAGTTAACCCTAGTATGTTCATTAATCCTGTTAAAACTTTAAATCCTTTATAATTTTATCAGTTTTTTTCAAGTCCTTTTCATAAAAGCTGAATGTTGATTGGCTGTTTTCTGATGAGCCGATTTCAAGGTCACATGTATATTGACGAAGTCATTTTGCCTTTATCGAACCATGAATTCGTGTTAGGAACTATGATTACGTAGTGTTATCGTATACAATAACACAAATTACTATGTCACAATACGGAAGTTATATTAAATAATAATACAGTCTCAACTGAAACTATGCATGTGGTACTTGATCACCACTCATTTCGAAGCCTTATTAATAACCAACTGAACAATTAGATTCACGTTATTGTCCAACTATTGGGTTTCAGGCTCGAAACCCGACTCACCTAATTTCATTGAAACAACCTTCATGACAATCACTGAGAGTTCAAGAACGTAATAACGTAACATAGAAGAACTACGTCTCGTCATTTAATAGTAGAGTTTTGCACTTCATTTTAATCCAAGACCGCAATTGAAGTTTGTTATAAAAGTGATTGGTAATCCAAATCTACAATTTTCAATCATGCTTAAAGGGGAGGTTAAGTTGTATATGATGTATTGAAGCATTCTTAAATATTGAGAGAAGCATACAAGTGTGATTTGGAAACGAGATTGCATACTTTTAGACGTTGCAACCAAATGTAGTACTACTCTGTACACCAATTACACGAACTGATAAATAAAGGCTGTTTTAAACAATAATAAAACTCTTCGTCGTATTATACTTGGTGCTATATCACCTTGAATTCTGCTTATACTACTAATCAATTAAAGTTTTAATTACACTATTTTATTACACTACTTTGTCCAATGGATTTGCGATCAGTTTTATCCCTTTTAAAATTATTTCCATTTTGCGGTAAAACACTTGTCTACAGATAAATGTAAAATGGTAAAGCATAGGGGAGATGTGACAAGTAAACCTTAAATAGAAAAGTAACTGACATCTAATGACTCATAGTAACCGTCGAGATGAAAATAAACTTACCACAACAGATGGCGAGTACTTTTAACGATAATATAGGGGAGATTTATCACTTATTTTGTAAAATATAATTTTTATAACTTTAATTTCTATACTTATTGGACAAAAAGGCATCAAGTTAAAATATAGGAATCTGGAAAATATAACTAGTTAAATTGTACTGAGTTCAAAAACATGTAATAAAAACGCCTTGCCCTTTATACTCCCTAAAACAGACACACTTCCAGCTTGTCTAAATGCATAGTTAAGGATGTAGTAATGCTGAGATAGAAGCTCACTGTCTTTGTTGGATTTTTGTCTACTTCGTAAGTGACTTTGAACGCCGAGTATATTTTGACCAAATGCCTGGTATTGTTCAGTGTTCGAATATTGGACTTTTTACGATTCTAGTAATACTCCTTTACAATTATGCCGCAAGTTATTGGACCATATTAGATAGTTATCGAGAGTCGCCACCATACACGTCATAGTTTTTGTTAATCTTTAAACTATAACTAACTTCACCTAGTCCCTATGTCCTTTCTTATTACAATCATTATTCGCGTAATGCTCAAACCTTTTTTACAGAGTTTGGGAAATGTAATTATTATGCCACTAGGTTTATGCTTTAGTCTACACTGTCATAATTCAGTGAACCTACGATCTAACACCTTAAAATTTACTTTCTCATTGGCTACATGCCAAGACGGTCTAACAGAAACTTTGAACCACCTGAAAAAGTTATTAGAGTCATGAATTGATTCACAGGGGAAAATGTCAACGATTAGAATCGTGTTAACTGACAAATCTGTGACTCGTTGACAAACAAACAATTTGGAGGTGAAAATCTTGTATACTATTGAATATGTAAATTGTTCAATACTTCCTTTAATCGATAACCAAATAGCCATCGGCCAACCTAGCCATTCTTTTTAAAATAACACATCAAAGTTGTGAACAACACATTTAATGTTCAAGAAATATGTCGTATGCAGCACTATCGGCAATGTTTTCATTCATTTAGTGAATGAGTGTCGTATTTTAGTATCAACTCCATTAGGCAATGTGTTTCAGACCCTACCTTTCATGAAATCTGCGCTTTCCCTCCAAAATACTGAACTGTGATACATTAGACATATTCGTATCAAACACTTACGGATATCTTTAGGTAGGTAAATTGAAAACTTCACTTAACATGAAGGCGGCCTGCTTGAATATCTGGGCTACCTGTTCCTCCGATCTAGATATTTCATCAAGTTATCTGTTTTGTTGTTTGTTTTAGCACATCATTATGTCTATTGTGCACACAATCTATTCAGGCGCGTTTATGAAAAGTATACAACATATATAATAATAATAATAATAATACTTATCCACTGAACATTCAGGAAAATACCCGAATATATTGCCCACAACATCATAATTAAGCATTGAAACCGTTGTGCACAATCTCATTCAGAATAGACTAGAATAACAATGAAGATGGAATAACTTCCATAAAAACGACTGCTATTTAGGAGAATCTCGGGAAAAAAAGATATTAGAACTATAGTAATAAAAAGCTGGGAAAAACTTTTATTGAAAATAAGAAACAATAAGGAATCAAATAAAAATAATTAAATCTCTTTACAAAATAAAAGTTGAAAGACAAATGACTTCAATTATGGTAAATTAACATTTAATAATTTGAAGAAAGCATCATCATTTGGTTCACGTCCAAGAAAATCTTTCAACATATCTGCAGCATCTTTAGAACCACCAGGACGGAGAATTTTCTCACGATAATCTCTTCCAACTGATTTACTTAAGCAACCACTATCCATAGCACATTGAAAACGTGATTCAAACATATCAGTGCTGTATACTCTACTCAACTTTAAGTAAAAAGTAAATGTTAGAATAGATTGGATTTGTAGACAAAACCAAAAAACTATAAGTAAACAATATTCTATCTACTTTAAAACAAGATGAATAAGTGTGAGTGGCAAGGTTTAGAAGCTAATCATTAGGAAATCAGTATTTATATTTTACTTACGTTCATCGTCTCTTAATTGGCCAAAACAGTTAACACCTCAAGTTTGTTCGACTACATATTTTCAGTTCATTTAGTTGTTTATTTGTAGTCCGTTATCGATAAGTAAATTACGTAAGTTTTTCAAGACAATACACATGTAGAGAGAGAGAGAGAGAGTAAATCAGTTGTGTTCTCTTTGTATTTTGATCGGAGCTTGGTGAGAAAAGGCCCCACATGAGGCCTTAAGAGTCAGTATACATGAATTGGCTGAAGAGTGGATACCAGTATTATTTATTGATGCAAGCATAGCAAGAGAACACGTTCACACCAAACACATTCAATTACTTTAAAAATATTTTACATATAAATAGTTGACGAGAGAAAAGAAATCATAGTCTTTGAAATCAATATAGACTAGCTTATGAATAGATTAGTAACCGAATTCTAGATATGTAAGTGTATTCATTTATGATTTTTACATTGATATAAACAATTAGGGTGAGACTTATATGATATCTTTTTAGCGTGATTAATTACAAACAATGAGTAGTTAATATTTCAAGCAAAAATGGATAATGGCTAGCAGTGGAAGCCAGGACGCGTGTTTCGTCCCATTTGGGACTCGTAAAATAACAACAAGTGAAGTAAATATTTCAGTTATGTTTTATGTTGAGTTTAAGTGTTTTTACTATTTCTCTAGTGAAGTTTGATAACTTTCGACTGATGATACATACTACTTATATCTGTCGACATCAGTAGCATACACCACAGTAGTAAATGGTGTTTGCATTCGAACAACTATACTCAGTACAGAAATGTCAATCCCGATTGTGATTGATTTATTTCCATTAATGATGAATCACGATAGCCATGAGAGAAATTTAGGATTACAAGTACATAAGTGACTGTATTTATTAACTTACTAAATAACTATAGAAACGTGCATCATAACCACAAGTTAAATGAACAAAAGATGCAGGCCAAAAAGTATCTGGTATCGGTTGAATACCCAACCATTTTTCACTTAAATTCGTAAAAGTAACTAGAGGATCATCCTGTGTTTAAAATGCAAAACAAAAAATGAAGTTATAAGATTATGATTTTAATGATAAATAATGATAATAATAATGGTCATTATAGTTTCCAAAGAGAACCAACACACATCAGTCAGTCAGTAACAACGTAGAACTTTGTACATATGTACATCAGTTCGAGTTGCCACACCACATTAGCACAGAGATACAATTGTCGATTCTACTCCCATAGTCGTAGAGGTAGTAAAAGTATAAGCAATAATCAGAAACATTAGGGTTTGGAGATGTTATTCAATGAGTATAATCGAGTGAAATAAATTGGGAAAGAGAAAAAATGGAACATGAAGAATTCAGAAGATTAGAATTTGGGAGAACACAAAGAGTGGACGCACTTGCGCCATTGCAAACGATTTCGAGCCATGTCATTCAGGGTCTCTAACCATCGGTTGCTATCATCTCGCGGTCCCCAACCAGCTAGTCTACACCTACCAACATACCTCAGTCACTGGTCAGTGACTTCATGGACTTGTGCCATGTTTTGGTCTGGCCGCCTTTAGCTTTCTTCCAACCTACTCCTATACCACTGAACATCGCACGTCGAGGCAGTCGGTCGTTGGGCATACGTAACACGTGTCCCAGCCATCTCAACTGATGAAGTTTCACTACTTCATCAATGGATTTGCCATCCTTACCTAGTACCCGTTTCCTAACAACTGCGTTACTTACTCGATGGTCCCAGGATATACGAGCAATATTTCGAAGACACCTATGGTCAAATACTAGTAACCTACGGATATCCTCTACTCTTACTGGCCATGTTTCACTGCCATAAAGTAGGACGGAACGAACTGCTGCTCAGTAAACCCGTCCTTTGGTTGATAGACGGATATCTCGCCTACGCCATAAATGACGCAAGATGGTAAAAGCTAGTCGAGCCTTCTGTATCCGTGCTGAGATTTCGTCACACACCAGACCACAAAGGCTGATGAGACTTCCAAGATAAGTGAAGCGGTCGACACACTCAACTACTTCACTTACTGTCATTAGTTCGGGTGTCGATGCAACCCAATCCTGAAGCAATATTCTACATTTCGAGGAAAGAATCGCATCCCGAAAATGCTTGTATTGTTGCTTAGAGTGGTCAGAAGACTCTGCATTTTGTCAGCGTCTTCACCAAATAAAACTATGTCATCTGCATATTCTAAGTCAACAAATGAATCTCTTGGTAGAAGTTCAACCCCTGGAAATTTAGACGAGGAATGTGTTATCTCTAAAAGTACGTCAACGACAAAGTTGAACAAAAATGGGGAGAGTGAACAGCCCTGACGAACACCACTTGAGGTAATCAATTCTGGTGACAGTTTGCCATAAGCTCTCACTCGACCAGTTGTGTTCGAGTAGAGAGCCTTTATAAGGTTAATGTACTTCTTTGGTACTCCTTTCTGCCATAGGACCTCACGATCAACAGAGTCGAATGCCGCCTTAAGATCGAGAAATACTACCATTGTGGGGCGTCTGAATGTGTGTCTGTGTTCTAGAACCTAACGTAGTGTGAATATGCGGTCTATACAACCACGTCCAGGTCGAAAACCAGCCTGATTTTCTCTAGTCTGCTCTTCACGAGCTTTGATTAGGCGTCGAAGTATTATTGAAGCTAATATTTTAGACACTATATTAGTCAAACTGATTCCTCTGTGATTGTCACAAGAGGACTTTTGTCCTTTCTTATAGACTGGTCTCAATCACTGATTGTGCCAGTCTGATGGGATTACGTCCAGTTCCCAAATTCTACCTAAGACCTCGGTTAATCTCATTGCTAATACTGGACCACCATCCTTAAAAATCTCAGGAGTAAACCTGTCAGGGCCTGCTGCTCTCCCTCGCTTCAGATTTCCTATGGCTTTTTCAAATTCGTAAAGGTACGGAGGACCTACATTAACTTGCCATTCAGGTTGACTAGAGATCGTGGGAAACCGAAGTGTGGCTGAAGGCCAGTTGAACTGATCCCTGAAGTGTTATGCCCATCGATCCAATCTCCTGGATTGAGAATGAATAATATGTCCATCTTTCTCTGAGATTGTTTCGCTAACGGTCGGGTTCCTAATTCCGGTTTCCTTAACGAGTCTGAACAATTGTCTGCTATTACCTATTGCCGCTGCCTTTTCCATCTCTCTTGCTTTCGCTACCCACCACTGTTCGCGATCATTGCGTAGACTTCTTGTCAGCTTGCGCTTAAGCTGACTCCGCTCTTCATTATGTTCAGAGCCAGGTGGAATGAGTTTTCGAGCATCTATCAGTGCGATAGATGCTGCTGAGATCCAGTGTTGCTCCCTAACTTTACGGTTTACCTTACTAGCAGATATCACTGCTGTTTCCACAGCTTTTCGGATATCATTCCATGCTGCATCGGGGTGGGCATCACATACATGGCTGCCTAACTGTTTTCCTAGTTGTTCCTGAAATATACTCTTAGCTTGACTATCATTAAGTAGGCCCTAAGAGGTTTCCTTGCAGCGTCTTTCCTACGTCCAGTAAGACGCAAGCAAATACGCGCTCGCACTAGAGCATGATCTGAATCTAGGCATGTGCTCCAGAATGAGCGACAGTCTTCTATCGAGCCCCTCCATCGGTGGCTGATAGCGATGTGATCTATTTGGGTCCAACGTTGGGACGAATTAGGGGGTCGCCATGTTAAAAGATGTTTTTCCTTATGCTTAAAGTTAGTATTGGCAAGGAACAGGCGGTTATCTGAGCATAGCTGCAACAGACGGTCGCCATTATCTGTCTTTTGAGCCACGACACCATGAAATCCACCCATGTGTCTTTCCCTTTCTCTTAGTTTACCTACTTGAGCATTAAAGTCACCGGCCACTATTACTACATCAGAGCGCCTAGCTTTTCGGAGGAGGTCGGAAAGCTTTCTGTAAAACTCATCTTTTACATCATCTGCGCTGAAGTCAGTTGGAGACGACGACGAGTGTCCCTATCTTTTCGGATCCTTACTGTTCCATTCAGTCGGACAGCGCACAAACGACTGTCTACTGGGATCCAGTCTAAGAGAGCCAGTTCTGCTCTGAATCGATTTGGTTCTTTATTTTGACATGGTGAGGTCAAATGAATGATGCTACTCAGATCCTGTATGCGCGTTTCGGAGACGCAGTACACATCGATGGCACGAGATTCTAGAGTCCTAGCTAAGGAAGTCTGTTGTCCTATTTGGCAAAGTGTTTGGACATTATAAGCTCCAACATGAAGTTTAGAGCGTGGTTTCAGGAGACCAGGAAAAGCGTTCCACGTACTCGAATCGTTTGCCCTAGCGGTGCAAAGTGATAAAAGGACGTGAGAAGGGTTAGTCGGGGAAATAAGAGTGGTATTAGGAGGTGTAGGAAGGATTTGAATGTAACCGACTCGGTCTTGTGTGCTGTTACGAGTATGAGGGCTGATATCACTTCCCGGCTGACCACACCGTGGAAGGGTATTTCTTGAGGAACCTGAAAAGGAAGTCGAATTAATGTCGGCCTTAACGACCCGGGAGCGTGACCGCAGAACCCGAGGGACAACTGCTTGAGGCCGGCCGCGCACGGCCTTTTCGTCGAAGGTATGTAATGTGTTAGCTTCGTTCTTCAAAGGGCCTTACCGCCAGAGACGGAAATCCGTGAGGTAAGGTGAGGTGTGACATTTTTAGGGTCGACCTTTTCTAACCCCACCCCTCCTTGTGGGAAGGCAGCATCGCTGCAGATGCTGGTTGTTCGAGGGAAACACCTTACTGCTGTCACACCCCTCTACAGTCAGCAGTACGACTTCGTCCTCAGACTTTGAGTTGCTGCTTTTAGTCTTACCGTTCATCAATCGACTTGCCTGGCGTGGTAGAACCTACAGAAACATGTTCCAGCCAATATAGCTCGGTTGGGTCATCACGATAGGCAAGCCCGACCACCGCGTCAAGGTAGCAGCTACGGTCGGGAACACACATCAAATGAAAAAGAGGATTCCATTGGGGAAATGGTGGAGTTGGTTGATCAAAACATTTCGACAAGTGATTAGTGTGTCCAGGGAAAAGCCAGAAAACGAACATCAAGAACCTGTTATTTTCTTTACCAAAAAACATCAAACTCACTTCCCAGTTCGTTGTATGAATGGCTTGATCGAATGAGGCTAAAAGTATTTGTCGAGAATAAAATAGACCAGCATTTGCTATACGTGAATTAATTAGACTAGCTAATAAATCTTTTGGAATTGGATCATCATTTGTACCAAGTACCGCTTTCAGTCCGTTAACATTCCATACCCAATTTTCCAGCATTTGTGATGGACACTCAACAAAATCTGTTTCTACAGCTGTACCACTTCAGAGATTAAAAAAACAACAACAAGTAAATAAGAACAAATGTTATCAACATAATAAATGGACAGTAAAGAGCAGTGAAATCTTGAACGCCCGTGTCATCTTCCTATTTGAGACTCGTCGTAGCTCAATCTACATTCATTACAGTATATCGATGGTCACATTGGGGCACACACTCAGTATGTTCTACTCAAAACGCCAAAATTGCTATTCCATGAGCTAGTGAGTTTGCATAACCATTAATGGTAAGGGTTTAGAATTATCTCGTTCTTGATATTCACTACTGCTAACAACAACGCATCGAGTCCATAAGACTTACGACAAAGTGGTTATATCGAGATAGTCTACACACGATACACATATGTCAACAACGACTGACCAAAATTCAGTCAACAATATCAACAACGGGATAACTTAAGTCTTTATTCATCATGGTGTAAATGTTATCAATGCTTTGTCTCTAGTTCAAAATCCAATATTCAAGGGGTATACACCTTCACACAATCTGATGTCTAATTAGGATTAAAAATCCTCATTGGATTCTACTATACAGAGTAAGTCTATCTCCGTCGACCCTAAAGTAATCTCGTCAATGAATAAAACATCTTGATGAGTCTAAATGAGTTTAGAAATAGTGTAGTGAATGAACACTCAGATGGGGATAACCAATTTATTTTTTAATGCACGGTCACACAGTGGTTTAACAAAATGTGAAAATCATATATGATTTGCACATCATCTCTGAATCGTCTATTACAAGCCTCACCGTCCCTTCATTCTCGTTGTTATCTTGATTACTTTCAATTTCCTTCTCTCTCCTCTGCATTCTAATCTTCTCAACTTTCTGTTCGCAGACATTTCACTTTCGACTGGTGTTACATACTAATTATATCGGCAAACATAAGTAGCATACACCACAACACCATATCCTTATATGTAATCTTTCTTTTACATATTACTACCATTGAAGTAATTACTTCTATAAATTTGGTGGTCATCTTGTTGAGCTAATTATGTGTGGTAATTTTGAAAGATGCATATACGTGCCTGGTCTTACGTTGTAGCTGACTGAATGACATCTCATTGCTATACACCTGAAGGGGACTAACTGCTTTAAATGAAGAACAGTTTTATGATACTGAAAAGTTTCTAGAAAAACACTAGAATTAATTACAGTAACGACAGATGAAGTAAAACCTTAAAAGTCCTTGATCCGACTTCGTAATAAATTGTAGGTGAATAGTGAGGAAGATGCAAGTGGTTGTTTCATACTTCGCAAGGCTTTGAACGCTTCCCTAAAATGCTGGCCGAGCATAAGGCAGAGAGCGTGACGGAGATCTTTTACATTCCATTTCCAGATCAAACCGTAGCTGTAAAGACAAAAGGGCAAGGTTTCGGAATAAAAAGTCACAAAACAGACTTTCAATTAAGCGAAACAGTATCTCATAAAAAGTAGCTTCAGTATTTTGTCATCCCTTCTCTATTCCACTCTTCATACAATTTACATTAACACAACTTTTAAAACATTGTGTAGAAATTGTCATGGATGAATTCTTAGGTTTATAGTATCCTTGGTTATTCGCAAATTCAAACGCCTTTATGTTTACGGAACTAATTTTTCGTAACCCTGAGTCTTCCCTGGTAATCAACCTTTGAGCTATTTTATAGGGTAAGATGGTGATGTAACAATTTTATATTCTTTCCATATGATCTTTATTTACAACTATCAATTGATGTCTGTCGGTGATTCCATTCTATCGATCACTATTAGTTTTCATGTATAAGTGCGTTGACAAGTATACGTGTGACCAGATTGTTTGAAATGCATAACACAAATGCATTACATTTTTCCAAATCAACTCCATCTGTTCATTGTTTTAACTAAATTAACAAACAGGAGTGATTTCTCTAAATAAATAATTAATTTTATATTGGAGGACAATTTCGTAAAGAAACATTAGCCTGTTGAGTAACGGAATCCCAAAACGAAGTTCAGCAGCAAAAGAAATATGTCGATGAAACTACGTTGCAAGAAAACAAAAATACTACATATATATTTGAAGTCGGTTTTATTGTATCAACCATATTGAAAATGATGTTTAGAAAGGGAGGTCAATTATAAATAACTAATTAATTAGTTATCTACGAAAAATAATTCGTTACAGATTGTTAATCGAACAACTGAATAAACATCGATAACGTGATAAAACACTGAAATATGAACATTGTGTGAAACGTAGCGTCGTAGGTACATATTAAAGCATACGTTTCCGACTACCACAATGAATAGCTCTACCCAATGTCAATATTTACGACATAATTCAACTGATTCACCAAGTACATAATAATTTGGGAGGCTTCAAAAAACACTCTATGAGTGAGGGTCATAGATTCTAAGCTCATTTGTCAAAATTGAGTAATTGTAGAGTGGTTCGAACCAGTGGCTTAGTGGCTGAAAGTCGAGCGTTTTAATTGCTGAGCCACCAATCCGCTTGATTACAAAAACTATAGACCAGGAATAAATGAATTTCACGTATATTTAACCAAAATTTACTCTTCATTTCAATCTCTAGAAACATTTACTTACCTAAATAAAGCTGTTTCAGTATGTGAACATACATGGTGCATAAGATGACCAAATTCATGGAAGAAAGTCACAACTTCATGATGAAATAGAAAGCATTGGCCAGTTTCTTTATCTGGTGCAGTGAAATTAGTAACCATTGCTGATATATCCAATTGACGTTCAGAGGTTTCCAATGATGGGGAATGACTATGTTCATCCACTGTAATATTATTGGAGTTCATCAATCTACGGCATCCTGGTTGTAAACCGAATACAGCTGCATGTCCATATTTACCTTCACGTGGATGCAGGTCAAGATAGAAATAACCTAACAAACTATCAGATTGAGAATCACTCACTGAATACTACAACGAAAAATTATACAGACAAACAGAGAGAAAGATTCACAGTTAATTACAAAACTAAATGATTTTTAAGTTTTTAATAACATTTGAAAATAGTTTACATCAAGGACTGACTTTAGTTAAACAACTGTTGAAGACTTAGAAGCACTAAATAACCATTTCATACCAGTAAGAAAGTTGTCAGTAGTATGCATCTATAACACCATTGGGGACTGAACACAGAATTCCCAGGACTAGTGGTGGGAAATTAACATTTAGACCACTGAGTTCGCATCTAGCAGTTTACATTTCTAACTCAAACCAATATGTGATATTGAGCAACCATCATCAGTGGTGGATAACTGCCCCACTTCTGATACCGTTAGACTCCACCAGTCACGACTCATCACTAGAATTATCTCTCGAATGATTACACGATTCAGATGAATCAATAGAAGGAGTTAGCTCACCTGGACAGATATCACTTGTACATACTTATGGAAAATTAAGACAGTGTATATAGTATTTTACATAAATTGAATGTCTTTTTCGTTCCAAGATAAACGAATTCTCAACCTATAAACACAAATATGGCATGTTCATACTGTTTATGAGAACTATTGACACTACGAATCGATTGAATTGCACTTGAATAGTCAGTAGTTTGACATAAGCTTTACAAACTGTGTTTAGTCCTCATACAACAAATTAGATAGAAATAATGCTTAGTAATATAAATCGCTCAAGGTACTCAAGGTACATTAAATTCATAGATGAAGGTAACAATTGAATTGACTGATGACCAAGGCATAGACCTTACATAATTCAATATGTGCGTATATATCATCGACTACAAAAGTATATAATCGAGTTTCTGAAATTCATTACTCAACAAATATATCGATGTAGCAGTAGGGATACTATCATTAACCGCGTACAGATTTGTGTGCTTGGCTTCGAGACACACTTCAAGTGACGGCTATCGATGCTATTTCGTTGACGAAACCGAAGTAGTCATGGTGAGGTTCAAACGTGCAACTTAGTGGCTAAACGTCGAACACCGAAACCGAGAGTCACTGCTCCGTCTACACAGTCTGAAGGATATCCATAATAATAATAATAATAATAATAATAATAATAATAATAATAATAATAATAATAATAATAATATAAGCGTTACCTTGAACAAGTGTGTATAGCGATGGGTTGATCAGTTGAGTGCTGTTCTGTGTAACCAGAGTGATTTTTACTTCCTGGTTGCTAACACTGTGATTTTGACGACCTAGGGGCGCAACCACAATGCCCAAATGACAAGTGTTCGAGGCTGAACACACAAGGCCTATTTGGGGGTAGTTCTTAATGTGTTAGCTCCGTGCAGAACTTACCACTGATGACAGAAATCCGTAGGACAAGCTGATCTATACTATTTTCAGAGCCTACACTTTCTAATACTTTTAGTCCGTTATCGGAAAGCAGCATCGCTGAAAATGCTAGTTGTTTGAGAGAATCACCAACTTACTGCCGTCACATACCAGTACACTTAGTACAACGATATCGCTCTCAGACTTGCTCTCAGTTCTTGCTTTTAACTATACTATATTCTCCAAGCGACCTTCCTGATATTGTAGAACCTAAATGGATCATTTTCCCAGCTAATATAGCTCCACTGTGTTATCACTATGTAAAATCTAATCACAATGTAATAAGTCTCAATCCCACACTCAACTACTTCAGTTTGGGAAGTCGAGCACTATACCGCTAGCTCTAGAAATAAAACAATACAGTCTTGACCAAACTGAAGAATCAATATACCAAATTTGTAAACTAACCATTTCTACCTCTTCGTGCCAAACTTCTGCATTTGAAACACGCTCAAATCTTAAACCAAGCAGTTGTTGATACAATCGCAATATACCTGATTTTACAGTGGCCAATGGAAAATATTTCTTTAGAGCCACTTCATCGACGGAATAATCTCGTTCTTTAACCATATTCATATAATATCGTGTGTCCCATGGATTTAGGCAATTATTAAACGTATATCCTAAACGGTCACACTAGAAGAGAGAAACAAACTACGTATATACATTAAATGAAGGTTGGAGAGAAGAATACAACTGAAAAGGATCTTCATTATGGTCCGAAAATACCACGTGAGTAGAACCGATTAAGAATCAAGGGCACCGAAATTAATTGTTTTAACCTAGTTTATAACTCCTCAGTGATTCGAACCCATAAACGCACAAGTAAACGGACCCATGATAATCAAATTTATGCAGCAAGTATGCTACCTTAGTCATATTCATGTACACATGACATTATTTACAAAAATATCAGTTAGTCAATTACTATTAAAACGAATAATATGGATCACTGTACGTTGTAAACCGGGAAGCATTGGATATTTATTTATAACCTAGCAGGGGACTGCTACTCAATGGAAGTACGCATCCACGAACCTACTGTGGATTAACAATCTACACAACACACTATGACAACAATCATCATGCGATTACTGATGACCAACAAATGCCCAGAGTTCTAGTGAGAAGCCGTGACCTGTAGAGTTTAATCACGTTAAGCATGAGACTGGAACATCGAGTGACAAGTAGAATGAAACGGCCGAAGTTGGATGGTCTCAATAGTAATTCAGTGTGCGGAAAAAAATTGCTTGAACAAATTTCGTCGAATATTCCTTGGCCTTTAACTCCTCTAATTCGATGTTGTGGGATGGTTTAGTTAATCGCTGTTGATTGATTATACCTCCTGCCTTCAGGCACATCATTTTTTAGTGTTTCGTATGGTTCAGAGACATTATTACCGAACATACTAGATGAAATGTACGTGTTCATTTCGATAGGTGATTTAAAAACCCCAAGGAATTTAGCATGTAAATTGGTCATGATGTGCTCTTTAAAGTAAACTTCTTTGCACAGCAGAACCGACCATCAATCTTATTCAGCGAATTGGGAAGATATCGGAATAATGAGCCAATCACTGGTGGTTTAGCATTGATCGGTCCCCATACTGAAAATTGAAATGATTTGTAAAGTAAGGGGATGTATGGGTCTTAACCTGAATAAGTTTGGGCAATTGTTCAAACATGACGAAGATAAAAATCTACACATACAAAAACAGGCAAAAGCAAGGGACAAACTCACAGACTTGTCTTCAGAAAACCAAACAACTGGTCCACTACAAAAGATGACTTGATACAATATCCAGATCGGGGGCACCAACATTAAGTTCTTCGAAACACTGTACTCGGACAACGCGCAAAAACCCCACGGAGAGTAATAGGGAAGAAGACGATAATGGTTAGGAGGAATAATTTGTTTGGTAGTTCACAGAGGTGAACAAGTATAGGACTGGTAGGTTCGTGGTTATTTAGGGGATGTGAAGTTCTGTATCAATTGAGTACTGGCTTGCCAAGAATTGGTGTGGACGCTTGATCCGGTGCCTTTATTTTACTATATATATATACATTAATATCCCTAGTATGAATGCCTATTAATCAATGCATTCAACTCTACAACAGATTTGTTTCGCAGAACACTAGCTTAGTATTCCCAACTTTGTTTACTGCGGTCTAGACATGCTAGGATCGAATGTATCTTACTCTTAAGTAACTTCACAGCTAAGTCGTGATCAAAACACATTTTAATAACTACAATTACAAGAGAAATAATTTACCAATGTAGAGATCAAAAGCACTTTTTGTCCATAGAATAATCTTACCTCTTCTTTTTTCAATTCCAGTAAGCGAGTAATCTCTTTCAGTCGGAGTTTTTCGAGTTTATTACCAAGATTATTTAAAAATTCGCTAATATTCGCAGAAGTTTTAGTCGTATATAAGTCAAGCATAAAATCTGCATGTGTAGAAAAACCGAGAACTGTTGCACGCTAAAACGTAAGGACATAATATGAGGGAATGATAATCACAAGGATTCAGAAATGAAAGAAACATTTAAAAATATATGTTTGAAAAGCCATCAATTATTTTAAATTCTTTTTATGAAACTGAGAAATTATCACAAATCTAAGTAATACAGAGATGGAAGAGGGAGTCAATGCTATAAGAAAGAGCACAGAATGCCAGTGCAAAAAGACTGTCTTTCAGCCAGATAACTGACTATTTCCCGATGATAATACTTACCACTTAAAGGAAATTCATCACTGACGCTCATTCTGGAGTACCTGCTTGGACTCCGACCATGCCCTAATACGGGCACGCATCTGCTTGCGCCTCACTGGACGCAAAACAGCCACATTAAAAAGACCTATTAGAACTGAGTTGAGTAACGAGAAAACCAAAAGTAGGTCCCAGGAACAACTGAGGTCACACTTAGGTAGTTCTGAGAACTAGGCTGACCCAGATGTTGCTTGGAAAGACATACAAGCAGCTGTGGAAACAGCAGTGATATCTATTAAGGACTTAAACCACAGAGTTACAAAGAACCAGTGGATTTATTCCGAGTATATCACACTGATGGATCCTCGCAAACTCGTCCCATCAGGTTCCGAACATGATGAAGAGCGACAACAAATAAGATCTAGGTTAAGCAAAAGTCTAAGAAACGACCGTGAGCAGTGGTGGGCAACGAAAGCAAAAGAGATGAAAAAGGCGGCGACTATAGGGAACACAAGACAGCTTTATAGACTAATAAAAGAAACTGGAACTAATAAGTCAAGTGTGAGATTATTTCAGAAAAAGACGATACTCTCATCTACTCCCAGTCCAGACGTTTAGAAAGATCGGCGGAACACATTAAAAAGCAGTTCAGCTGGCCTCCAGCTACTCTACAACTACCCATCATTCCCAGACAGTGTGAATGGAACATTGAAGTAGGTCCCCCAACTCTAGCAGAAGTTCAAAAGGCTATAGTTAATCTGAAACGAGGAAGGGCAGCTGGTTCAGATGGATTGACTCCAGAGGTCTTTAAGGATGGTGGTCCAATTTTAGCGATTAGCTTGACTAATATTTTAGCTAAGATCTGGGAGTTAGACGTTATTCCATCTGACTGGTCGCAATCACTTATCGTCCCAATATATAAGAAAGGGTTAAAATCATCTTGTGACAACCACAGAGGGATTAGTTTAACTAATATAATATCTAAAATACTAGCCTCGATAATTATCAGACGCCTAACTAAGACTCGTGAACTGCAAACACGAGAGAACCGAGCTGGCTTCAGACCTGGTTGTGGCTGCATCGACCACATATTCACCATTCGTCAGATTTTAGAACACAGGCATACTTATCGACGTCCGACAATGGTGGTCTCTCTTGACTTAAAAGCAGCATTTGACTGGGTAGACCGCGAGATTCTGTGGTAGTGTCTGTCATTGAAAGGCGTACCCCAGAAGTACATAAACCTTGTAAAGGCTCTTTACTCGAACACTGCTAGCCGAGTCAGAGCTTATGAGGAACTGATTTCGCAACCTCAAGTGGTGTTCGTCAAGGCTGTCCACTTTCTCCATTTCTGTTTAACTTCATCATAGACCTACTGATGGAAATAACATTCTCGTCTACTGAATTCTCGGGTATTGATCTCCTACCAGGAGGTTCACTTATCGACTTAGAATACGCAGATGATATAGTCCTGTTTGGTGAAGACGCTGATAGAATGCAGAGTCTTTTGATAGCACTAAGCAACAATGCCAGAATGTTTGGAATGCGATTCTCTCCCTCTAAATGCAAGTTGTTGCTTCAGGACTGGCCTGCGTCAACACTTGAACTAAGGATAGGGAGTGAAGTAGTCGAACGCGTCGACAACTTCACTTATCTTGGAAGTCTGATCAGCCTTAATGGGCTGGTATCGGACGAAATCTTAGCACGGATTCGAAAAGCTCGTTTGGCTTTTGCCAGCTTACATCACCTTTGGCAAAGACGAGATATCCGTCTATCAATAAAAGGACGAGTATACTGCGCGGCAGTCCGTTCTGTCTTACTTTACGGCAGCGAAACATGGCCTTTAAGAGTAGAAGACACCCGTAAGCTACTAGGTATTTGACCACATATGCCTTAGAAATATTACTGGCGTCTGTTGGGATCACCGGGTAAGTAATAGTGAGGTTAGACGCAGGGTATTAGGTAATGATGGTAAATCAGTTGATGAGGTTGTTAATCTTCATCGACTGAGATGGTTGGGCCACGTGTTACGTATGCCTGAACACCGATTACCACGACGTGCAATGCTAACGGGTGTTAGAGATGGTTGGAAGAGAATTAGGGACGGCCAAACCAAAACGTGGCATCAGTGCTTGAAGACACTAACCTCTAGTCTGAACCATGTTGGTAGATACAGACTACTTGGTTGGGGTCCGCGTGACTATCGTAACCCACGGTTGGAGACTCTTGGTGACATGGCTCAGAATCGATCACAATGGCGTAGGTGTATACACTCCCTGTCTTCCCTTAAACTAAAAGATTAAAACCACTTCATATCTTTCTTTCTACGAACTAATTCTTTCTTCCTGTACTGTATCCTTATATGCAATCTTTCTCATATATATTACCACCTTTGACCTAACCACTCCTATGAATCCGGTGTTCATCTTGTTGTGCTAATGAGGTATGGCAACCTGGACCGATGCATATATGTGCCTGGTCCTACGTTGTAGCTGACTGACTGACTGACGCGTTGATATTTATAAGACTCAAACAAGTAACCAAGACATATTAACATACAATTTATTATGGAACACGAACAGAATGACACGTTCCACTTTCTTGATATTGCCATAAAACGTAGGGGAGACGGGACAGTTCGATGTTCGGTTTATCAAACAGTACTTAGAATGGCCTTTACCTGAATTTCAATAGTTTTTATCAAATCAGTTACAAGAAAGCATTAGTCAAAACAATTTTATAGGGTAGAAAAGATATGTGCCACAAACAAATTAGGAGGAATGATGAACGTTGGAAAATGCCTGAGAGACAACTACTACCCACAGAAATCTATTGACAAAAACTCAAAGAAAACAAGACGAAAGTGATTACAGTCAATAAAAAACCGATATCTATAAGTCTCAACTTCAAAGGTAATGACATCGCAAGCACAATCAGCAGGAGGCTTAATTCTGCATTAGACAGAACTTACTCGGCAACCAAACTATTAATTCTTTATAAAACAACATGTCCAATAACCCAATCAAAGGTCGATAAGCACCCCTTTCATGTTACCGTCAACTGTGTTTATAAGTTTAAGTGTACCTGCCAAAACAGCTACATTGGTTGAACAAAAAAGGACATATGGATTTTCTCGAGAATGTTCCAAAAGGCCTTAGAACAAAAAACAGAATGATTCTAAACAGTGCAATTACTAAACATCTCTTAGATAAAGGACATCAGGTCGATATCTTGCAATCTTTTAAGGTGATTAATAAGCAACCAAACTCCAGTCTTCTGAACTTTACTGGGGCCGTTGCTATCAGACGTCAAAAACCTGATTTAGGTGTTCAAAAACTGACGGTTATTAATATCTCCTTGCCTTGAGGACGAATATTCTTTCATTGGATCTTAAAACATTTTTTAAAAACTTTTTCTTGTACTTGCTACACAACTGAGGTTTTTTTCATTTCGACTGTCTTCCAAATTAGTAATCTAATTTTATTAACTGAGCTTTACTCATTTTATTCCTATCAGCGTTTATTCATTGTGTATTCACTTATATTCTGGCCGTTTGAACTCTAGTAACAATCAATGTTGTAGAATGTTCTTTTACGTAAGGTATATATTTACAATATTCAGTCTATTGAATTCATTTACGCTGTTGCTATACTATACTAGTGTGTCTTCAACGTAACCTACAACTAAACGCTTTCACCTAAGTGATTTAAACCCATTTCGTAATCATATTTCAGATATCCTAGGTTAAAAGCAGCTAACGAGAACGAAATAAATGAAATAAAATAAATTCATGCTATTCTGCTAGAATCTTTTTTCTTGCTTTCTTCAAATTGATAAAGGGAACTATGTGTATGGGATTTATAATTTTTCTTATTAAATCATTTTCATATTTCCCCTTAATTGAAGGAAAACTAACCAATTCGATATAGAGATGCAAACATTTGGATGTAAACTCATTAGTTTAAAGGTCAAGCGCTCATTGTGACGTCTGAAAATCTTGGGGCGACGGAATGTCACTGCCACTGAAGTGTTCCATACTAGAAGGATCCTAGTGTGAACAATGTGTTTGCATTCTTCGCTGGTTACCATGATAAGTGGACTACATCACAATACAGTTTGGTTTGTAGTCTAGTGTGTAAACGTGAATGTCATCGATACATTATGTTGCAGCAATACCAGTACTAATAATGATAATGATGGGTGAATAGCATCCACTCTCAATCCACTAATGTACATTGAAATTATTTAATTACAGGTACAAATAAAATAACTTACTTCTTTTCGTAGTTCCATTAAACGTTTCAATATGGGTGAATTTTCTTTAACACACCTAAAAACATAAATTATAAGTCGAAAATAAATTCAGTCAAAGTGAATTTATAAGAAAATACCTTATACTAATTTATAATTTAGGTTCATAATAAAAATAAAAAAACCAGACATTTCTAAAATCTCCTTCAACTAACTACTATCTACTGATTCATGAAAGTTGTTTTCATAGACTTGGGCCATATTGTTTGTTGTGGGAGGGTTAGTGACATTACCAAGTAGCGTAAACCAAATTAGTTTGAGCAGGATTCTGACCTCCAACCTAGAGGTTGGAAATTAAGTGTGTTATACAAAACCACTTATTTTAAATGAAACCTAGACGGTGATGGAGCGCATCCATACAAATCCCATTAAACTTCATTTATCAATAATGACGACCAGTACTTTTGATAAGCCTCTAAAGAAAATCAGTAGCCAAACGTTTAATTTACCTCGAATTAAAAGCTGTTTCTAATGTTCTCCTTGTTTCTGGATTAGACGCTTTTTGCATGATCGGGAAGTAGTGTGGATATTTGAGAGATACTTCACGTTTGCCAGAAGGGAGCTATTTTTAATTCATAAGTGCATTGAAAAAGAAATAATAACATATTAGGCAGCACATAAATAATTTGTACAGGAAATTTCGTAATTAATATCATTATTATTATGAAATCGTTGAGATGTGATTCTTATTCTGTGGTTGATAAATTCAAATTTTTATTTTTTATTTATTTATTTTAACACATGGATATTGGTACAAGGAGGCACCAAATACATATGCGCCACACAAATCTTTAATGATCAATTTCTTTAAATAATTAACCTAAGACAATTTGTTGTTGACTATCTATATTACACATTACTCAAACTATGTTCGCATTCTCTAACTTGTAATTTCAGTACTGCAGCTCAAAATCAACAATTGAGGCATAACAATCCTCACTGATTACAACATTAGGTTGCATGAAAAAAAGTCAAGAATGTACAACTACAGAATAACATAACGCTTAAAAAAGCAGAATCACCTTTTTCAAACCATCAATGAAATCAGCAGGACATCCAGCTAAAAACAAACAAATTAAACTATATCAATTTCCATAAAAAAACGGCACACGAAAATAGATTTACCTGCAACGTTTTACTAGCTACTCCAAAAACCGTTTGTCACAAGAAAATCATTACATCATTTCATCATTGAAGTATGTTTTATCCATCATCGTTCTGCTACTTTAATAACAACACACAAACGAATCGCTAAACCAAACAACACAGAGAAAATGGATCTAAACTGTCATACTTTCTACAACTATTAAAAACACAAATACATTGTTTTGTTGATTTCCAAACAAATACCCATTAAACAGAAAAATCAATTGAAAATTGTATGACTGACGAGGCAACAACTTAACGATTTACTCCACCGATACTGGATAATGGACTTGTGGCTAAACTAAAGGCATATTAGAAGGTCGCATTAACAAAAGATATACAAAAACCAGTTTTATCGCCACAAGACGAGTCGCTCAAGGGAACTATCACTGTTGATTATCTCATGAAAGAAAAAATAGCTCTTCAGTTCCAATGCATAACATTCATAACCAATGAAATAAAATAATCAAAAACACGACAAATTCATTAGCGAGCCTGCAATTCTGGTAACTGGATATGTTTATATAACCATCTCCTACCTTTCTAGCCTTAAAACACTGCAAACAATTAACACACAAAGCATAGAATCACCATGGCTTATCATAATTATGTCATTAACATCTTATTCAGTTAATCTAAAACTTTATCATTGTTATTGTTAACATACTCAATTCCTCATCTGTAAACTCTAACAAAGTGTTCTCTTCATTTAGAGCACGTTGGAAATCAATGCACAATTGATTTTCTTCCTTATTCAAGGCTTCTATCAACTTCCTTTTATCGTCATCCAGATGAAGACCTGTTGTTCACAATTACAGTTATTCATAAATATCACACAGAAGCAAGCAACAAACCATTTCTCCGACCGAGCTGAACTTTTCTATCAACATAACGACGATATTCATCGGGGAATGATGGATCTATATTTTTTTGAACTGAAACAAACTTCTCAAATACGTCCTTTCGCATCCTGGGCAATGAAAATTTAGAAAAATAACAGTAAGACATGACAGATGGTACTAGTTTAAGTAATTTAAAATTAGAGAGCATTTAGTACATAGAGAGGAAATAAATAATAGCATCATAGGTCATGTTAAACTGGAATAAACTCCAGGAATCCGATAATATGTTACGTTTTAAGAACTACAGTTTTATAAAAGGAGGTTAGCTTGATTACGATCGACTGTGATAAGGGTTATATGGTGTTAAAAAGTAGATTACGACTAACAGATAACGGCTGAAAAGTTTGGAATACCTTGTACAATTCAATATCAGTGAGTCGTTTTTACGGCTAAAACAAACATTCCATAAACATCCCAGTAAATTAGGTAGCAATCAGTTTAAACGAATTTTCTCTTGATTACTCAAGTCGATGGCAACCAACACGGTTGGCTTTTTGATTTTTAATATTTTCGCAGTAAGCCCTATTTATCTTACGGCCTCTCAGACCAAGATACAAAAATAGTTTGAATTTTGATGGGAGGCACACGCTTATTTGTTTATGGTTGTGAAACAAGTGGGTCCAAGCAACAAATAAAGTGGAAATAAACGAGAACAAAAAAGAAATAAAAGGGATATTCCGTTATATAATGAAAGGCAATGATAGGAAACCGCGTCAGAATGTTCCATTCTTTGCCTATCATGGAAGGATAGTGAGGACTTCACCCATTTCGTTGCTCTGTATCTCGAATGTCTCTAAGTTGTCTGCTTTTCGCCTAAATAAACGACAAATTTATTGAAACATTTAAATGCCAAATTTCCCGACTCAAGGGAAACTTTTATCCTCTTTGAGGAAATTTCGGGGAAGTCTAAATATAAAATTTTGAGAAAACAGTACAAAACTCTCAAAATTTCCCCAAACTATGGAGAGGATCAACAACCTCGCCGATCACGGTACTTTTGAGGAAACGCCGAAATAGGGAGATTTGGTGGTTAAGTTAAGACATCTGTAGGTTTTTATGCCAGCTACAAATAATTCGTTACGTAGGTTAAGTTGGTGCTTGTTTTTTTTAAAACAAATTTTGTAGAAAAGTTTCGAATGAAAAAAGATTTAACTTACTCTAATTCAACCTTCACATCAGAAAGTCTACGAGTGGCATCATAACTGGCGTCTCTTATAGCTTTACAAGCGGAAATATGTTGAAGGAAGTCTATAGCGTTTTTTTCTGTTTGATATTCAGCTTCAAACAGTGACATAAGCTGGAAAAATGTCAGTATATTGAGTAATAATATTTACTAGAACAACTGACTTAAAAGAAGCAGGTTCAGATGATCCCACTTTGTCATATACTGAAACGGCATGACTGATTAAGGTTGATGTTCTCTCAACAATATCATCCACAGTAGCAGACCACTTCAGGAAACAACCAGGGGTAACGAACATACTCAAAATTGTGCCGACCTAAAAAATTAAGATCATCCGTTCGTTCAAACTGTATCCACATCCAAATTCTGATCAGACTCGAATTTATGTATTAATGACTTAGGGCCTATAGACTTCGATAGATACTTCTTAGTAAGCTTTTTAAAGTGTTCAGTCTCCTCTTGAATAAGACAAGTGACGATGTGGGCACCATTTCTTCAGGTAACAGGTTTCAAGAACTGATTACTCGGGGTGTAAACCTGTATTCCACGGAAATTCAGCCTGCCATTAGCGTTGTTACTAGATCGTTTTGTCCTCTGAGTTTCATCGATCTGGTAGGAAGAGGAAGAGAATATATATAAGGCTCAAAATCATTTCCCAGTAATCTAAATATCAAATTCTGATTACCTAATAATCTGCGTTAGGACATAGTGAAGAGGTCTACATTCTCAAGTTGTTTTCTTTACGGTTAATCACAGAGGTGTGGAGTTGCACATACGGCTGCTCTCTCTTTTTTCCAAGACGTCCGAGTAGCCTTTTAATTAGGAGCTCGAATCCTGACCGATGATTTGTTTCTTATTGACATTCTCTTATGATGACAGATTTCAACACCCGGGATCATTTTTATTGAGTTGCAAGAGAATAAGGGGTGACCGGTAATGGGATACAACATATAAAGTACACCAAGCCACCCCAAAATAAGCACACTAACAGAACATCATTACCACTCTTCTTGAACAAAACAATGGAAAACAATAAACTATTTCCACACTTTGTTCATTATGAGTTGTTCCCATTCAACCGAAGTGACCACAACCCCATCAGCGGATAGCACGAAGAGGAGTATAGCGACTCACGTGAAATTGAGTTTATTCTCATTTAGATCAGTCAAGGTCTTTTTTTAACCTATTTAATGGACAAAGTCGTCCATGCTGTAATAACTTGTTGTATTTTTATTATTATATGAAATACGTATGCTTGAGTATTGTTTAGCGCCTACGAATATATATTCACTCTGTTAGCTTCATTATTAGCTTGTAGCGTGGTGTCGAGTTGAGGTTAACTATGAACACCGCTACAAAGAAACACGTGCCAAGTAAATCAGAAGGCGTAGGTTGAACGTGACAAAACAGATCCATAAGATCCCCGAGAAGCCAAATATCAGAAGGCAGTTAATGGACCAAATCGAGACATATTCGCTGTCGATCTCGTGGCATCGAAAGGATACCGAGATCGTGCCAGGATACAACCTTGGTTACAGAAGGTAACCGAATCCGCGCGAAGTTACAATCAAAGTGTGAGTAAAAGAATGGAAGCACAATATAGCCGTCATTAGCACAGTCAAACAAAAGCGCATTAAAACAAGCACTGGTACAGTTGGTTATAATAATAATTGTTTTTATTAAATCAGTGGTGTTCTCGTGTTAAATGTAAGTCACTACAAGCTGCTTAATCTATTCGATGACTCATTCATTTCCCTATGTATATATATATATTCTACTGCTACTGCTACAATCGTAGTTCGCTTGCACATTCGTTTTGTCCCTCTGCTATGTGGTCAAAACTACCTGTTAATTAAACTGAGGTAGCCGCTACTTTTAACCTTCTGATTTCAAACACCGTTGAAGATTGTACGATAACGGTTCGAGGTTGATTATTTATCGAAGCACAGCCACTACAGGAAAATCGACCAACACAGTTTCGCACATGGACTGAGATATCCCATTTGGTCCACATATGAATGATGCACATCTCATAGTTTTCCTGCATTCGAATTTTATCTTCATTATTTTTCTCACTGAAATCAACTGACCTCTGCCTAGTAATTATATATATGAAGTCATCCAGAAACCCTTATTCGCCGCGACAAACACATTTAAAGAAGCGACAAGACACAAATATTGAAAAACAAATGCCAAGTTGAGTAGAATTGGTTGAGTCTTGTTGCTAGAGTACCACCGATTGAACATTATGGAATACCTGAATCTGTATCAGAAAAACAACAAGGGATTAATCAGCTTTTACTACCTTAAGAGAAAGGTATTGATTCAATATTGGTGTTTGTTTGTAAAAATATTCTACGAGAGTTCGAATTTACATCCCATCAATTGGGTGTGAAAGAAACGTTTTGTTTGTTTCAATCACCCGACACTTAAAGCCGTTGCTATTGTCAAGGTTCCTTTTCTAAAATTCGAGGGTTAGCAAAACATTTGACTTCACTACTAGGGACAGAAGATCGAACGATCTATATTAATCTTTTTAATTTTTGTATTCAATCTCGCTTCAGATGCACCATCAGAAGGTGTTGTTATTACATATTATGTTGTCGAATTCTCGTATTTCACTACTTGATGCGAGAAGTAGTTTTGCGTAAAACACCAGATGTAGATGATGTGATTTCGATCCCTGTATTTCCTTGGGATGTACCTTTGGATGATAAGCTTTAAGTGGATGAAAGGATGGAGTTAGTTATATTCAAATTATTTTCAAAAACTGGTTTAGTCGATACAAATTTTTGTATCATTTTTAAAAAGATGAAAATCAACGACTATTTATGATGAACGTAGTTTTGGAATTGCTTTGAGCAGAAATAACAGAATGTCTCATTTATCTCTCATTTATTACATGTTGGTTTCTCCAGATGAAGATTTCCTATGATATAAATTGTTATAAATGCGCCGGTGCGTCTTGGAGGTAGTTGCTCAATGTTTTATTGAATGAAATTTCCTGTGTTTAGAGCATGATTTGGGTCTACGTGGCATAAAAAAATTCAAGTCTTCTCTCATTAGCATTTCTGATGGGGAATTATTTAGGCTCTACTTGTTTTTTTGGGTCATTTCGACGTTGATTTAGTTAGTATTTTACAGAGTTGTAAACTGACCTGTTGTTATCGTTTTGTTTTTGAAATCAAATCAGATACTTTTAAAGTGAGAATACGTTCTTTCATTTTGGTTTCTCTCTCTCATAAGCTTTACCTTCTATGGTAAAGGAAGTGGGAAGGAAAGTCCACACAAACTGAAAGTGATAAAAGCCTTTCGCCTAGGAGGAAATACTGGCACCGAAGATCTAAAGTACGATGAAGCAAATACGTTTCTGCTATTGTTATTGATAAATCTATGTCACAAAACGTCTCCAACTGCTGATTGGGTTTGTTGCGTTGGCTCCTACCATGTAGCCTCCATTTTAAAAATGCGTCAAACCAATGGCCGTTCACATATGGACTGCGGTCGCATTATGATTTGACGAATATTTTAAGAAGGAACAATCTATCTATTAAATATTCCAATAAGGCATTAAGAATATAGAATGTACAAAACGCAATTAATTTGGCTTCACAATAGTAAATAGGTTTTTCTACCACGTGTTAACTTAATAACAACATTGAAATTACTTGATTTTAGTATTATCTTTAAAATAAATGTGCTAATCACAAGATGTTAAATATTTAAAATAATTGTGAAATTATACAAATAAGAAATTAGAAAAATTAACTAATCAGTCTTCACAAGTAAGAAATATGGTATCAAAAATTTGTGAATGCCACGAATCAGGCTTAATCATGAGGATTTATTTGATTTGGTACTCATGTAAATGAAGGAATTTGGAAGAAGAGTCTAGCTTGATTAAGACTCAACATAAATCTAAAGATAATATTTTTATCATTTTAACGATAAGCATCGACTGGACGTGCGATGACATGAGGCTATCTATAAACACAGTTATTGGATTTCCAGTTTTCATACTCGGTTTAACTATCTGAATAAAAATGTTTGACCTATTAAACACATCTTAGTTATTTAGTGATAAAAGAATGCATATAAAAAATTACCACAGTGACAATGACCATTTTTTAGATCCTAGTGCCTATTTTTGAACTACCTAAAGGTTTGCTGAATTTTTACTCATTGTTATAGCTATGTTGTTTTCAATACGTCACAACATGATTTCCAAGAAAAAATACGTGATTGTTTAGGTATCCCTGTTAGATTACTCATAAAGAATGAAATAGCCATAAAGCGAGTATGTATCTCTAAAAATGGAATTCCTCCTACACTTTTAAACTTTTGTAATTATAAGGCATTACAAGCATAATTGATTGTATTGTTCTGTAACCGAGAAAAGCACCAAAGACAATATCTCACACTGCAGTATCGTATACATTACTTGTCACGTAAATACGCGAACCATGGTCGTAGAAACCTTATTTTACAAATTTGGGGGTAAATTAATTTTATTTTTCCAAAAAGACAACCCATGTTTGTTAGCTTTCTTTTTTGGTTTTCATTTCTCCCATACGGAATGTTCCTGGAATTGTTAAGAAGTCAGGCTTGCTGACCACTTCAATTTTTTTGCATTCATTAACACTGAGGGTTAGCATTCTTTTAAGTTTTGTGTTACCCTTACATTTATCATGCTCTCTACTGAAACACCTGGTTCACGTTTAGAGGGACCCTTTCTCCAATCTTTTATCTCTGTATATGGTATTCAGCGTTTTTTATCTCTCCTCAGAGTTTTTTCAGAGTTTGTTAAAAGCCTTAGTTACCCATTTTATTGAATAGACCATTTTTAATGATAACTTTATTTGATATCATCGTTACTATTAAAAATACCATATTTTATTGATTGAGGCAATATTTACTACAAAAATAGTTTCAAATAAGTTAACTTACATGATTTTTGAAAGCAATGTTTCGACATAACACTTAATAAAAAAACCCCAACTTTTGTTTTTAGAATAAAACAACAAATACTCATGCAATTTATTTTATTTTTTCTTCTCAACTTAAATCATTCTGCTTGGGGTTTAACTGACGTTTTTACTATTCCCATTATTCAGTTAGTGTAGTTCAGTAAAATAATCTTTACAAGTGCTTGTTTGAATAATGCATAGAGGTAAGTTATTTCATTTTCCAAAAATACCTTCATGATACCGAAGAATTTCTATATATTCAACCAATTGGAAGTGTGAATTGGTTATTACATACACTTTATACCCAATCAGCGTTTTCCAAGTGTACAGATATCATTAAAAAGTGTACTAATGGGCAGTTTACGTTAAATGACGATTACCATTTGTATTGTTTAAGTCTAATAAATCGACTTGGTGGGTGTATACAACAATCCTTGGATAGTTTATTTAAATGTTTGGAGCATAAAAACAAGTCAGTTGATATAATGAAGCAAATCGCAAAGTCATTGTAAGTGTCCTTGCTGTTGCTATTATTCTTCATATAGATATTTTCGAATGAATAAAATTTGTCTTTTTTTGTATATAAAACAGGATTGCGATTTTCAGTTTACTGATTAAGAACACTGGATAAATGACTCAAATTTTATTGAAAAAACACAAACTGTTGGTAGAGAGTGTAAATTTTATGAAACTAGACACATTTTATCAGTCGTTCAGTCATATGCAAATAAGAACCTGATAAATATGTGCAGAAAAGTGATTAGTTACTAAGAATCATATCAAAGTAGAAGTATCGGTGGTAGTAAAAAATAAGATTCGACAATGATGAATTCATGAAATAATTGTAAATTTCATCGATATTTCTGTGCCATTGACCTATGTCACCCAACATATCTAACTATTGATTATGGCAACTAGGTTGTGTGCGCCTATCCACACAGCTTAACCCAGCATCTAGTGACTATATGGGTTGGTAACACGTCTTGGTATCGATGCTTTCAGCTTTCTACCAAATTACACCAGAAAACACTGCACATTTAAATGAGTAGCTGTTGAGGATCATGATACACATTTCAACCGCCGTAGTTGATCAGGACTCAACCTCACTAAGTGATTTACTAGATCTACCTAGTACCCACGTACCTCATTTCATATTTATGAGGGTGATTTTCTGTACAACTGAAGAGTAATCCTCACCACAAATCGATATAAGTTGAAAAACAAGTTAAAATTATCTCGAATTAAAATAAAGATTTTGTTATTTTAACATTTGTTATCAGTAATTACCCCACTCTCAGTCGTACACAGCGTTAAACCCATGACTTTCAGATCTCCTGGGTAGTCTAAAATAAATTAGTCAGATTTGATAATTCACATATTTAACTGTGGTGAAGTTGCAGTACAACTATAAGTAATGTAGCGTCTAGTACAACCGTACACCTTGGTCATGCTGCTACAGAAGCCGATTTTAAGCTAAATGATTTCAAGTCCTGTTACTAGTGTATGCTTTGTTTTCAGTTTGTTAGTTACCCAAACTACGAAAGAATATTTCAAATACTTAGTAAAGATCTTGTCTATCTAGCAAATGTGACTACAGATCCAAAGGTACAGGTAATTAAGTTTGGTTTTGGATGACCATATTGATAATAGTACTAAATCTATTACCTTCGTACTCCAAAAACATTACTCATCAGTATCAGAACTCTAAAGATCAAGGTGAGATGCTATTTTTTGAGCTGATCTTTTATAACCATTCCTTTCATTGTGTCGAAACAGAATAGCTTCACATGCTGGTAGTTCGAGGGCAACACTTTAATATCATCGCACCACAGTGGTGTAAGACAGTACGTTGCAGACATTATAGCTCTATTGAGTCATCATGATAAGCAGACGCAACTGTTAAGTGAAGTTGGCAGTTGTAATCGACTTTCTAATACAGAATTATTGTCATGCAGTACGATCAATAATTTACCTCCTCATACTGATGGAATTATCTTCATACGCCACAACATTCCACGTAATGAAAAAATCTTAAAAGACTAAAAATCCTCATAAAACAACCTTAATTAACGATTACCGTGTGTAGTAACTAATGATCAATTTCTATATGGATTTCTGAAAATTCTTGCTGAATAGTAACCAGTGTGGTAATATCTGGTTTTTATTTATGACTTCTCTAGGTTTCCTTTATACTCATCATTCTGATTAAGTAACTATACGACAGTTCATAATATTCGGTGTTGAATAGCTTAGGCTATTCCCAACACACATGTGTACAAATACATTATTTATTCATCGACATGATCAAGATTGATCAAACTCTATCCGATTTCAAAAAGAGCAGATCGAATCAATTCATATTATTTCGTTTGGTTCCTGTCAACTACTTACAACCTATAATATTTGAAAATCATGATAAGGAATCTGGTCAAAATTACTTACGTAATTCAGCACACAACAGTATAGTGCAGAAAGGATGTAAATACATTTATAAGATTAAATATTGTATTTGCAAATATATCTTTTATAAAAGAACACTGTACAGCATCAATTGTAATAAAAATTCAATGAGCTGGAAATAAGTTGTTACGTAATAAATGAATACTAATGATAAATAAGAATGAAGTTAGTAAATTCCAGCCAGTTAAGATAAAATCACTGATTTAGAAGAATGGCAAAATAAGACAATGTGATCAATTATAAGAAAAAGTTAAACGAACATTTATGATGTAACGAAGGTATTATGTGTAACCAGACCAGAAAAGTATTAACAGTTATGTCCTTTTGGACACAAATCAGGGCCCTGACGCCTAATAACAATAGTTTCAGAAGATTTTGGAAGACTAGAGAATGATTGTTTGTTAATCATCTTGAAAGACCTCAAAGTATGGACGCAATGTCATATATTCAAGAGATGTCCCGGAATTTCTCCTTGCAAAGTACTAATTCCTCATAAACAAAATATTTTTGGAACATGTTAAAAAAAATTCAAGATAAATCCTTTTACCCAGATCAACTTAACCGCTTTGGAATATATACGTAAATTTATAAGCATACATGGTGGTGATGTGAAAGGGGAACTTTTTGATTTTTGACTTTGTGAACATCTTGTTTTAATCTGGACTAATATTTTTGCAGCAGCTTAGGTTCTGGTTAATGTAGTTTTTAATCTTCCACTGACTGTCATCTCAACATTATCACTCCTAAGAATAAGATAGGTAAATATTGGTTTTTAGTTTTTCTATAATTGTCGATATTTTCCCAAAGTGAAGAGCTGTCTCTCAGAATCCTTTCGACGTCTGTCAATTTTTCTAGTTTGTCAATGGTACATGTCGTTTCTGCTCTTTAAAATAATATGCTGACCGATGCTTTTTTATAACTGAATAAGCAGAAGCTATCAAAATTCAAACATGAAATATTTCAAGTACTCTTCTAATAAACCGATTATTTACTCTACTGTGTCTAAGCATCACTTTGAACATAAATATGGCCTAATCATTAAAACATTTATCATGTGTACATTTGTTTCTCTACAGGTATTTACAAGGTCATCATAATGAAGCATTGGAAATTTATCAAGATGCTTTAAAACTTAATCAAAATGATTGGGTAATAATCTATTAATTCCATCTTCTTACATTTTTGTCAGGAAATACCATTTGGACAAGGTATATGTTATTTCTACATGAAAAAATTTGAATCGGTTTGTGTGTAGTAATGAATTATCCTAATCCATTCAATGTATTTCTTTGTTTCCTTAGGCTGAAAAGTATTTTAAAAAATCTAGTAAACTTACCAAAAGCATTAAACCATTGAAATGGTTAACAAAAGTTCATTTAGAAAAGAGCTCAATAAATTCTGCTATTGCAACTTTGAAGAAAGCAACCTCGTACGTTGAATCTCTATCTATCTATCTATCTATCTATCTATCTATCTATCTATATATATATATATATATATATATATATATATATATATATTCATTATTGTTATTTTTTCACACAACCAGAAACATCATAATATTTTATCAGTCATCAACTTGGGCAATTATACCTCAACAGTTCTGTACAATACTTCTATAGGAAATATCAAGAATAAATTATACCCATAAAACTTTTTGTCAAATAATATTAAATAATTTCAACAATCAGCTAGAGAATCTAGTCTAATCATCTTCTGGGAAACAAAGAAAATGAATTCACTTGGTATTACTTGCTTCAATCTTCACATTGATGTTTAGGACTACAGTTGATCAGTCTCTTATTGTAATACGTGCATACTGTCTCGATATTACCTTGATTTCCAAGCTTTATAAGCAAGGATGGGTAGTGGCTAGCAGTGTAATACAGGACGCGCGTTTCGTCCTACTTGAGACTCGTCAGCTGAATGTTCCTGCATCCCAAAGTTGATGTTCACTTTGTGACTCGAACCCAGTATCCTCCACCTCAAACGCCATCGCGTTATCCACTTAGCTACTGAGTCCTGATAGCTACTTGCTTGTGCAACGGGGTGAAAATGGAAATTACCAAAGATCAATAAGATTGGAAACATTTGTTTCAACCATGTTTATGGATATACTGTAAATAACTATTGCAGAACTGACTAATATAATGTTTGTGTGGTTCTTGGCCCTGATTAAATTTCATCTATCAAGAAGTCGTACCACGATCGCTAGACATTGTCATGGTGTTTTGATGTAAACCGATCAGAACTACGAATTTAGCTTAAGAAGTCCTTGTTACTATTTAATGTTTAATGTTGTGAATATCTGCCTCTTACAAAAGGAAAAATCTCAACATGGATAATTCATTGGAAACGTTACTAATTGTAAACAGGTTTAAATAATACAAATAGCATCGATTACATGAAGATTGTATAGGGGACTTGCTGATAAGTGCTAACAACCACAGGAGTTGAATTAGTTGGGCCTCTTGTTGATTGCTTCTTACCCCCCTAAATGTTTAGTTATTAATTCTGTCTATAGTATAAATGTGAGTTGTTTAGTGCCAAATTATAATCAAACTCTTAAATGTGATGTTGTTTTTAATATCATATCATAGGCTATTCAAGCCTAACTCTAACTCTGGCGAACAGTCCTAACTGAAATAAAACTATAAGTTTAAAGAATTGTAAGGGGTGATCAGGTCATCATATGTCATAAATCCAAAAAATCATCAAATCGTTTGGATTTGCTGAATAATCATAATTTCATCATTTCGGACACTGTATTACATGTCCTGAAGTTAGCTGTTTTGGTGCATTTGCATGCATTACTTTTTACCTCCTACTAAGTTTTTTAGTTGAATATTACTCAATAAACTTAATTCATGTAGATTTGTATTTACACTTCTCTTCGGACTGACCTCGTATGTCTATATTCGTCGAAACATCAGTGAATTCCTGGAATGTATAGCGTATATTCTGTTTTATGTGAAACAGTCGACTATATGGCAGCATCATTGATGAACACGGTGGGTCTGATGTGGATGTAAAGGCGCGGATTGGCAAAGCAAGAGCAGCAAATTTACAACTGAAGGACATCTGTAACTCAAAACAACTGTCAACCAACAACAACGTCAGAACTTTTTATTTATTATTATTATTATTTCAATACAAATGTCAAAGCAATTCTATTCCATGGGGCGGAAACCTGGAGAACTACGAAAGCCATCATCCAGAAGATACAAGTGTTTATTAACAGTTGTCTACACAAAATTCTTCAGATCCGTTGCCCAGACACTATTAGCAACAACGTACTGTGGGAGAGAACAAACCAGATCCCGGTGGAGGAAGAAATCAGGAAGAAGCGCTGGAAGTGGATAGGACACACATTGAGGAAAGCACCGAACTGCGGTGTGAGGCAAGCCCTCACATGAAATTCTCAAGGCCAAAGGAAAACAGGAAGATCAAAAGACACATTACGGCGAGAAATGGAGACAGATATGAGAAAAAATGAACACAGATTGGATAGAACTAGAAAGGAAGGCCCAGGACAGAGTGGGTTGGAGAATGCTGGTCAGCGGCCTATGCTCCATTAGGAGTAACTGGCGTAAGTAAGTAAGTAAGTAAGCTGACTATATGCAGCGTAGAAGCTGGCATTTATATATGAATCGCTTCAATTTAACGCATTATATTAGTGTAGGTAAGTGGAATTATCATAACAAATGCCAGAATAGTAGCAGTGGTAACAGTATCAGTGGTTGTAATGAAATTCAGCTTAGTAAATATGGCTCGAGAAGAAAATGTTAATTGGCGAAATAAAACTCATAAGATAGCCTTTACGAAAAAACAATCCGTGAATGCATCTACGCGATTACAATCTGTTTTAAGTCGATTCGCAAAACGTCTCCAATGATAGGTCATGATAATTGCATGAACCCTAACCAGGTAGTCCGCATCTGCTAACGTGGTTCAAACTAACGAACAGTAGCCCCATAAACTGATACTATGTCTTGTTTTGGTCGTCCCCAACTTTAATCTACTAAAACAGCAGGTAACACCAATTGTCAATTTAGGTGGGGGTTAGACATATGCAAGTCCGTCTAGAGCCTTTATAGGGTTACTACCGGTTCTAAGCCCAGTTATAGGAGGAATTTCGGGCATGGGATTAACAACCCCATTCCGTGGAAAAGCTACATTAAGAAATACTAGGTATGTTATAGATATCTCAAATACATCAATTAATAACGATTCACAACTCCGTTAACCGGTTTACCATCCATACCCAGAGCCCCGGGTCTAACCTCAGCATTGCTCATTTAGTGTACACAAAATACAAAAGAAGTGTTTCAAAGAGGTTTGTGTTCAAACACTAGTAAGTTGCCAGTATTTTCTACTTGCAGAGGCTGTTTCACAGTTACAATGTTTTTTCCAGCTAATGAAGACTTATCTTATTTGTCATAATGTTTCAATATTGAGAGCTAAAACGTGAATAAGGGTCCTCCGATTGCTATAAGAGCGGTTGTCGTTTCCAATTTCCCATTCCATGGAATGATATTGATTCTTGAGAGACATGCAAAGATAATTGGATGTGAAATAGTCATGAAGACCTGGAAGTGTGACAGCAGTGTCCAAGTGACAACTGTTTGCTGTCATTCACGTAGGACCTTTCTTGAACTAGTCTTTGATGTTTTGGCTCTTTACTTTCAAGGCCTTATTGCTAGAGATGGAAATCTATGGAGTAAGGTTAAGTGTGACATCTTTTGAGCCGAGTACTTTTAATCTCTCCCTTACTTTATGAGGAGGTAACATCACTGAAGATGCTGGTTATCTGAGAGAAACAACGAACTATCATCACAGTCTTGTTCATTTAGTAGTATTACTTCATCCTTAGAATTTAATTCCCCGTTTTTAGTCTTACCACTCTTAAAGAAATTTACATGGCATGGAAGAACCTAATGGAACAACTTTTTCAGCCGGCACATCTTTTGTGGGTCATCACGATAAGGAAATCTAACCAGAGAGTCAAGTTAGTAGCTATTATGGCAGAAGTCATAAACTAAGACAATATGAACAACTGCCTAGTATAATTATATTTTGGTTGGCAGACTGATATCTTGACTTCACTAAAAGTAATGGAAGTTAACAAAAACCGACGGAGCTTTCTGAATCTATTCCGATACAGAACTGATAAGAATAACAATATAACCGCAGCGGTTAATTCAACAACTTCATTATCTATCATTAAGGTTCAGTCATTGAATCAGACGATTTTTGAAGAAGCATTTTGTACTATTTTTTCTGAGAATGAAACTCTTTCGGCACTTTACAATATAAAATGCAAACTTGTATCTTTTTCTTTTGATAAAACAGACTAGTACCTGAAGATCCGGATATCTTATCTAATCTGGGTTCATTATATTTCCAAACCAATCAAGAACAATTAGCATTTGAATGTTTAAGCTCAGCAATTATTTTAAAACCGGATCATTTTGATGCAAATCAATTAGCTGGTGTAGTTATTACACTGCATAAAGATTATGATGTGGCATTGAACAAATATCGATCAATATTAAAACAATCTTCTGAAAGTTCAATATTATGGAATAATATTGGTGTAGCACTAATGGGTAAAAGAAACCTAATAGCTGTAAGTCATTAAAATGTTTTGTGACATATATATGCTAGGACGAAATGATCGTCCAATGCTTCCGGGTTTTATATAGTGATCTATCTAAAATTAGTTTGTGGTTTAAACCATGAGAATTCCACGATTCCCACAGACTCCCTTCACTAATAATAATAATATGCTCACAAGTGACTGGCTTCAAGATGCTACTTTTGAGGCTATAGTGGAAAGCCGTGGCTGGTAAAGCTTAATCGTGCTGAGCATGAGGAAGGGACCCATCGAAGACAATCGAAGATATTCGCACAATATCGCAGATTGATCAAAGTCAGACTTTTACACCTTTGGATATATATATATATACATTATGGGGGTGAGGATATCGATTGTTTTGAGGGTATTTTTTTTACCACGGAGCACTGGTTTGCTGTTGTGCCGTAGTGTATTTTCAGACAGTTGCTTTAGAAATCGAACGCAAACTATTCAGGCACCTTGAGGAGCGAGTAAACTTTAGACAACTGAGTTGGTATCCCACGGTTCATATTTCTTATGAAAATTACCCTTCATTATTCAACAGTCACGTAATAAGTAAACGACGTCTAAACATAACAAGGTGAACAATAAAACGTTACAGATAACTTCAGCCATAATACCATTCATTAAATGAATCAGTTTATTTGACTCAATTCCACTGAATCACGCAGATAGTGTCAATCAATACAGTTCACCATATTAACTCCTTTTAAAATGTCAGTCCAAAAATATTAAAATCATGTAAATGTTCGACTAATTTAAAAATAATTTGACTAATGAGATTCAACAGATGTGTAAATTAACTCTCTGGAGATTCGCGGGTGGATGAAGTACGAATAATTGGAAAATGTAGAACAGTGGGAGCGATTCTCTGGAGTGATTTAATGTATTTATTTATTAAACAAATGATTTACGAGCAAAGGTGGAAAGTGGCTAACAGCGGAATCCAAGACGCGCATTTCGTCCTATTTGAGACTCATCAGCTGAATGTACCTGCATCTCAAAATTGGTGTTCACTCTAGTACTCGAACCCAATACCCTTTGCTTCAAACGCCATCGTGTTATCTACTTTGCTACTGAGTCCTGACAGCCACTTGCTTGTGCGATGAGGTGAAGTTATGTTCAGTTGGTGTTGTTTACTTGTATCTTCCCATTGTTATTTAGGACTACAATTGATCAGTCTCTTGTTGGCATGTGTGCACTCTGTGTGGACTGCCTCGATATTGCCTGAAGTCACAAGCTTCATAAGCAAAGATCTTTGCTTAATGGGAAGATACAAGTAAACTACACCAAGTGAGTTGAATTATAAGATTTTCCGTTTATGAATTACAACAAATTTAATTAAAACTCTGTTAATGCTCATCTTGATACCATAAATATCCGAGATTTATTAGTCTCTTGTATTAGGATACTATAAAGTCCTTGTGTCATATTTTCTTGGGATTCTGATTGTGTTCCAGTGAATTAAAACCTCTGACTGGTTACGCTTAATTTTTGCCCATTACATCATTTTAACTTCGGAAATAACTCATTTTTAACTTTTCTTCCTCTATTTTGTCAATCACTTTCAAAATTAACAGTCTATTACTTGTTTTAAACGTGCCAGTTACTTAACACCATTCGATTGGAGAATATCAATTAATCTGGGCATAATTTATATGCATACATCACAATGGTTAAGTGCATTTCAATATATCACTACATCAATTAATCTGTTTAATATGATTAAACAAAGATCAATCCATCGTTCTGTTATAAATGATAATGATGACAAAAATAACCATAAAACTACTCATGATGTTGGCATGTTATATTGTTTTTTGGGTTATTGTTTAATTAAATTAAATGAATATTCCAAAGCTTATGAAGCTTTTATGAATGCATATAAACAAAGCAAGTGAGTCTAATGAGTATATCTGTCTCATTTATATTTGGTAATTAGAGGTAGTCAGTTGAGAACCTTAGATAAAGGTATCTTGTTAGTTGGTGCTTGTCAGTAAAACGAACTTGCAATATTTACGGAACTGATGAGGGTCTAATTGGAAACAATGCCATTCGGTTATGTATGCTATCCTAACTCACATTTCATACTATCATTTTCACTTTATGATGGCAACATTTTTTTGTTTTATTTTCATATTGAGTATTCTCAGCTCTTAACTGCTTGTTTTATATGACATAAGATAAACTTCATTTACTCTTGGAGTTCGCTCGAGATTCCAACATTGGTTATCTCGGTTCCTATACTATGATATTTACCTAGTGGTGTATATCATGAATATTTTTATAAGGATAGTATTTATTTAAATTGAAATTTTCTATTATGTAAACTATGGTGATTTATCTATTTTAATTATTAACATTTTAGTAAAAATCCTTTAGTGATTTTGAATTGTGCAAATTTTCTTGTCAAATCAAACAAAAAATTGGCCAATCAAATGTTTGCAAAATATAAAAAACTTAATTTAACCGGTGAATTTGAATTACCATATTGGGTGAATAAAAATGATGTAAGTAATAATAAATGATAGTTGCCATTGGAGACTTGGAATTTGTTTTCTAGAATAAGTCACTTAGTTTTGTAAAAGTGAGTTAACGATATATTAAACTAATCAGAAATCGATAAAATAATAAGTGCACGTGTTCAATTAGGAAACGATTTTCGTTTTCAAGGCATGTAAAATACATCACTGGTGCCTAAATTTTCTAAGAAATATATATAACTCCACCTGTAGCTCTTCTAGGGCTACTGCCGATTCCAAGCCCGGGTAATGGAGGAATATTAGGCGTGACATCTGCAACCTCATCCTTCAATCTTAGTGACACTTTATTTTTGATCCGTATTAGGGGTTTCAGGTATATGATTATTCCCTACTTCAATCAAAACTATACTGCATAAACCTCACAGTCAGAACTGCTCGTATTGCATATTTTATCGAGATAACTTACGGATAATTGATCTTCAACGTAAATTATGTGTACATATAATGACTTTCGTATACGAGACAATGTTTATTTTATTTGTTACTTTCCCTCTCCTAAATATAATCAATGTAAATAACTGGTTACCCTGTTCAACATAACTATTAAATATCCTAATTTAGGTCAACTAACATCTATATTCGTCTGATATACACCACCACACTCGGTGGTAGCGTTCAAAAACTTTAAACTGGTGAGACCGACGTGCTTAATAGGAAGAAGGCATAACTGGCATTAGAGTATCTAAAACAACATACTAAAACATTATTTTGCAAATGTCTCATATAAAAGCTTTATTCATGATACGTTGACATTAATACTGTTTCAATAACTTGAGTCTGATGTATTTGTATACAAAATACCGTTCAATATAAATATTTAAGTATTCATGGAATACACACATCATACTACTTATATTCACTACTTATACTACTATTTGTATTCAAATGGTCTCGATTATTCTCTGTTCCGTTATTTTTATGAAATTAATTTTGCATACGTATTCTGTGTCTATTACAAGCCCTATTTTCTGTGATATCTGCTATTCTGATGGGATATCTAAAGGGCCGGGTCGGAATAGACAACTATGGTTACGAAGATATCACAGGACGACATGGGCCAGAAGAAAGGAACGGGAATGACGAGAGATTTGCAAATCTATGTGCATTCAACAAATTGGTTATAGGGGGCACAATATTTCCACACAAACACATACACAAAGGCACATGGATCTCATCAGACCACACTATTTTGAACTAAAAAATCTAGAAGGCCAATAGAAGACGTAGGAACCAGGAGAGTGACTGATATAGCTTCAGATCACTACCTGGTGTTTGCCAAGTGGAAACAGAAGCTAAAGAAGAAATGGACAAATAAGAAAACATTATTACAAATCTAATACAGACTTCATTCGAGATACTGACGAACTCAACGAATTCAAGATAGTTCTCAACAATAGGTTCTAAGCTCCCTTCTACATCTACTCAACGAAGAAGAAACTACTATGGAGGACAATTGAGAAGGAACCAAAGAAGGATACCCCATCAAGATACCAAGGAGAGAAGATCTGGGCACGTGCATGAACTACAGAGGCATCGCACTACTATCAGTACCAGAAAATGTTTTAAACACTGTTGCTAAACCGGATGAAAGCACTCACTAGACGCACAAATTCGAGATCAGCAGTCTGGATTACGTAAGGATTGGACGTGCACAGACCAAATCGTGACATTACGGATCATTGTTGAGCAATTAATTGAATGGAAGTCGTCACTATACATCAAATCCCTTGATTATGAGAAGGTATCTGACAGTGTGGATAGCAGAACATTATAGAAACTTCTTCCACACTTTGGTGTACCAGAGAAGATTGTCAACATTATCTGAAACTCATACGACGGATTACAATGAACAGTCGTGCATAGAGTACAGTTGACAGATGCATTCCAAGTAGGGACTGGAGTCAGACAAGGCTGTCTACTCTCTCACTTCCTCTTTATTCTGGTGGTTGACTGGATTTCGAAGACTTTGACATCTGAGGGAAAGCACGCATTACAATGAACAATGTGGATATAACCAAACGATTTGGACTTCGCCGATGACCTGGACCTTCTATCCCATACACATCAACAAATGCAAGTCAAGATAAACGATGTAGCAGAAGTTGGCCTCAACATACAAAAGGGGAAAATCAAGATCCTCAAATACAGCACGGATAACAACCCAATGACACTTGATGAAGAAACTCTGGAGGAGTTGGAAAGTTTCACATATCTGGGTAGCATCATCGATGAACGTGGAGGATATGGTGCAGACGTAAAGGCGAGGATTGATACAGCAAGGACAGCATTCTTACAGTTGAAGACTATATGGAACGGTAAATTACTTTCAACCAACATCAAAGTGAGAATCTTCAGTACGAACTTCAAGACTGTTCTACTGTACGGAGCTGAAACTTAAAGAAGTACCACAACCATCATTAAAAAGGTACAAGTATTTATAAACAATTGTATAAACAAGATACTGAATGCCCGTTGGCCGGATAGCATCAGGAACAGCCTACTGTGGAAGAGAACAAATCAACTTCTAGCTGAGGAGGAAATTAAGAAAAGACGTTGGAAGTGGATAGGACACACGTTATGGAAATCATCAAACTGCATCACGAGGAAAGCGCAAACTTACAATGCTGAAGGGAAACGAAAAAGAGAAAGGCCAAAGAGCACACTGCGTCAGGAATAGGAAGCAGATATGCGAAGGAGGAATAGCAACTGGAAACAAATGTTTATAGATTGGATGGTGAATGCTGGTGAGCGGTCTATGCTCCTCCACGAGGCTTAACAGGAGTAAGTCTATATGGACTTATACATATCTATTTCTTCAGTCAAAAAATTTCCTTTCTCTCTCGGTCTTTACGCTTGAGTAGCCGGTTGGCTTCGTTTATAGGAAGATTGTATCTCAGTGTCAAACCTCAAACACTGAAAAATATAACAATCATCATTAATTTAGATAAAATATTCCACATTTTTATTTATTACTAACGCTTAGAACATGATGTACTTTTATAATCATCGTTGGCTATCACTAAGTAACTGTAGTTCTATTTGTAGTTATAAATACCATCACATTCATATGAAACCAAGTCTCTCCAAATGACTACTGATGGATTTATTGTCCAGTAAATTAATTTATAGACTATTTAAAAATGTATTAACACTTTTTTATGATGAAAATAATATAATTTTAGCTCCACAACCAAGCCATTCAGCTCAGAGAACAAAACTTTATTAAAATCATCTACCCGAGATACAAATCTTTTCCACCATCTATAATTTTACCTTTTTACATCATAAAAAGTCCCTATCATTGATTTGTATTATAATTATTGTTTTAGGTGGATAAATTAGTCAATCAATTGGATACACATCTTAGACAAAATACTAGAGAATCAACTGATTCTATGCAAATATCAATATAGTTCAATGAATATCTGTATGTGGGCATTTATTTTTAAAAAGTTCTTATTATGGTTATCAACTTTTAACTGCAAAATATGAAGTACAGTCGTTGAAATGCAAGTGTTTGCTTTCTCACCCTTTCCATCTAAAAAAAAATCTTTATTAATGGTTAGTTTTATAAATTTTCTAGTGTTCGTTCTGAGGTTGTTCTTTTTTGTATTTTAATTTCTATAAAGGTTAAGATCATTTCAATTGTCATGACGATAGTGATATGTCTCGATGAGAATAATGAATGGTAATTGTTAGAATCTATTTCTGGTCTAATACTATACGTATATTTTTATCGTATAATTGTTAATGAACTAAACTATTCATATTCATGTGTCTCTTATCATAAGCTTTATTTTAAACTATGAACTGTTATTATACGATTTCCCACTCTTGAATTATTCCCTGTCTATTCATCATTACCTCCCACATTTACAGCCACATTTGGCCAAATCTTGTACAAATGTTATTTTCTATTTTATGGTACGATGTGGTCTGCTTGATTGGTATATAAACAGAGTATGTTTGAAATACATGATTCATGTTGTAGAGGCTGAGACTGGTGTTCTGGACTTAACTGGCTGGGCTAGACGGAAAGCAGGGTTAATCAAGACACTAGACTGCTCTCACGTGTTTTACGCGTCCTTGGTTCGATCGATAATTCACTGTTCTCTAATTGGAGGTACCATTACGTTATACGTTAACAGGGCACACAGGCCGCAAGTTATAACATGTTCCGACACGTCTCTTGTGTGTGAAGTGGTAGTTAATCTCTTTGGTTTCGACGGCGAAACGCCTTCAGTAAACATAAAGACAGTGAACAGGAATACTCTATACATATGGCTATAGTTAAATGTAAAGATACTCATTCCGAGTCAATTAAGCTCATACAGTCAACTTATTGGGGGACAGTAACGCTGAACTCGCTTAAAAAGTTTTAAAAAGTGGAAACAATTGGAAGAGACATTTCCGTGGCTGCAAACTAACAAATGATAGTTGTTTAGTAGCATAAGCCATAGTGTTCCGCATTGACTCTCACCTTCCAATCAATGTATCACTATATTTGCCTCTAAACATCTGTTTAGGGAATCCATTCTCTGTCAGCTATGTAGCATATGATAACACTAAGAACATGTTGAATGAAGATAATTGTAAATCCACTTTGGAATATGATATCCTACCGAGCATGTGGCTTCCAGATATATTGATTTAATATTGGTTAAACTATGCTCATTTATGTGATTAGTTTGAATGCCTGTGCCATTTGTACTAATGATTCCTTTGTGCCTACTTGCCCACCGATTGCGAATTCCAAATACAATACGTCCATTTGTACGCATCTAATTTTTTTCTTGACTTAAACAGCACTATTTCGGGAACTCCTAGTTAGTACAATAATTCAAATACTTCCAATCATAATGACCTGTACGTGATTCTCAATATTCTTTTATCTGGTTGTCTGTCTGTGTGTCTATATATTCATTAATCATGTTCGGTTACTACATTGATTTATGAATAATTGAGATGTGACGACACTCAGGACAGTTTGTTTTCATCCCATCAAAATGCAGATTAGACTAGTAGAGTTTAATCCTTGATATATTTCACGACAATGTTATTACCTGAAATTCTATTGTGTCAGCGTTATTTCTATACTAATATAATTGCTAGTTATTTCAATTACCATTGTCAATATAAATACAATTCAAACACAAAGAGATCTGATTTTGGTGTTAACTCAATACTGCTACTTTTCCAGTCCATTTAATCTGCTTTAAATGCGAACAATTTAACCAATACTAAGAAATAAATCAAATCTGTTCTTCCCACCAGTGAGATTCAACGTGGAACCTGCTGATTCCCAAAAGATAAGATGGGGATATTAACATGATGTATGCTATCTGTCATAGATCTCATTGTTTTAATAGGTTGCTAACGTTATTATTATCCTACACCACCTTAGGCTATATCAAGAAAGAGGATGTCAACTAATACTCGTGACATTTTTTGTGATTTTAAGACGTCGACCGTAGACTGGAACAACGCACCGCATGTAAAAGTTTTCAGAGCCTTTTTCTAAACAATCTTATAACACTCCATCTCTGACTTGATAAACAGTGAATTCCATACTCTTGAGTTTAGATCGATATCAATAATCACATTAGGGTTAACAATTATGTCAAACTACCATTTACTGCGATAAGAGCTATCTAATATGCACAAACATTGCGAAAATTAATGTGCGACGTCAAAATGTTTGACCGAGACTGAGGGATAAAGAAACCCGAAAAGGCTAGATAACAAGTACTGTGTGAACAAGAAACGGTGTTCCAGCACTTTCAGCAGGTCTCATGTTGAAGCTGGCATGATATGATTGATAGAGTTGAAGGATTTCTACATTATTACAACCACAGTAAAAATATTTTTCGGAGACGCATTTAAATTCTACAAACGCTTTATGGATACAATGACTATGAAATTGTCTCAATATCTTTGAGATGTTCATTGAATTCAATAGAAAACACGCTACTTAACTGAATGATTCCCAGGTTACCTCAAAGACATCCCATAAATGTCCGCTTTACCCGTTCGTAACCTAAGGTAGGTTACTAGGCTACTTTCACCAAAACATGAGGTACAAGTGTGAGGATTGTCATTCACCAGGTCTAACCAGCGTAGTCTTCAAGATTCTAAAGTAGACAGTTTACATAGATTTTGTTGTGACTTTAAGCCCAGCAAATGATTACGTGATGTGTTTGCAATCGTAATGCGACTTATTCAATCTTAGTACCGTGCCAAACCAATGACGTTCGACCGGTATGAGCAGCCTAGCGTCCGTAATGGTCCTTTCTCCTCCTAGCCCTGCAAGCTGAGTCCAGAACACAAATAAGAGCTTCTACTATGCGAATCACTTATTCCAAACATACTTAGTTTATGTACCAGCCAAACAGACCGCATCACACCCAAAATAGGAAATAATATTTATACAAGATCAAGCCAAAATGTGGTTATGAGCGTGGGAGACTGTGATCAATAAACTGAATATAATTTCAGAATAGTAAGTTGTATCATAATAATCTATAGATCAAAATAAGGCTTATAATAGGAGGGATATATGACATATTAGTCCATTATTAGTTTACAGAAGTTAACCGAAATTTTATCTTCACTAGGATATAGAAGTTTTGTTTGAGTATCTCCACACAAGCATGATAGAGTTTGATAAGTTAGACAAGAGGCACAATAAAGTGTGTGCCGGACTAAGCCCAGTCTCATATAGTGGTATTTCAATTCATAGTTTCTTAAGTATGTGGTTCATGTTGCTCCACAAGATCTTCGCTGGCGCTTTGAACTATTGAGCTACTGAAGGCATCTACAAAGCCACCTACAGGTAAACAGTAATCTATGGATAAGATGGAGTTACTTATACCAACTGAGTACGTATTGGAAGTAATGAATATTCTAATATCAAATCCAAGCGACACGAATAATGCATGTTGCAACAATACAGTCCATCATGGGCACACCACTGCTCATAGAGATTCAATCGAAAATGTCAAACACACGAGAGAGATGTAGCGCGGGGTCGAGTCGCAGTTGACTATGATCACCACTACAAAGAAGTGGCGACCCCGTGGTATCGAGAGAATACCAAGATCGTGCTGAAAGAGTACAAGAGGAATAAGTGAGCAAACGTAAATGCGTGCAAGTTCACAATCAACGGAAGCTAGAATGTCTTTAGTACAGTTAAACAAACAAGTACAGTAAAACAATCACTGGTGCAAGTGGTTATAATAATAATTGTTTCCATTAAACCAATTGCGTTCTCTTGATAAAAGCAGGTCACTACGGAGAAAGTGCGTGCTATCTAAAAAAGACAGTGGTATTGTTCCTCGTTGAGTTAATTAACTGTGTTGATCGTAAATTACGCATCAAAACTACTGTTTACACTTTAATTGTATCTACTCCAATTAAAGTGATATTGTATTAAGTGTTTAGATCTTGCTTTTGTGTATTTATTGCATCGAAGTATACTTGATCGACTTTTACTTGATTTATTCAGTTAGGGTTGAGAATTCTTTTTTTACATATCCTATTTGTGTCACCATTGTAATTGATTTTCAAGATAGCCAGCTCTGCTCACAAATGTGGACAACCATATTGCTTATTCCCCGTGGAGGAACGGATGCAATGTGATGAGTGTAATAAGTAGTTCCATAAGATGTGCACCCGATCAAGCCCCACTGCATATAAAAGGTGCTCAAAGCCAAACTCTCATTGGCTTTGTAGTTTTTGTTGATCGAGCAAAACACTGCTCATCCAGGAACCAATTGGCCTCCTGATGTTGGCTAATAAGAAGGTTGATGAGGGCCGTACTGGTAACATTGGTACTGATGGCGAAGATTGCATTAATGTCGTGAGTGCTGTCACGGCGCAAGCCAGACATCTACCTGTGCAACCCGCAGTTAAACGTTCTCCCCCGAAACGAACAGTGATTGACACCTCATTAGACGTTGGTGGCCATATTGCTACAGCCGCGATTGGTGATCAAGATAAGGCACTTACTGTTCCGGGTTGTTATAATGTAGATGTTTCGACTGAGGGAAAATGGATGACGCGAAAACGCAGAATAGTAGGAAAGACAGCTAAAACTAATGACTGTTTACTTGACACATCCGTGGTGGACTCTCAGATCAATCCGCCAAAGTCCCGAAGTAAAGCCTCGTCTAACATTGTTGTGAGTCACTCGCTCGACTCTCAGGACTCTATTACAATAAAAACTAATCGTAAGTTACCAGTAGTTAATATACAGGATCTAACGTCACTTTCGGAAGCTGTTAACACAATTTCAAGAGAAGCTAAATTCCTTCCTAGTTTAATTATTTGGAATCTGGAGGAGTCGAAAGACAACGACCGTGCTAGAAGACATGCACATGACCCGCAGTTAGTGGAGTCTGTGGTAAGAAATGTA